CATGCGTCGGACAAAGAAATACCAGGAGATCAAATTTTCTCAAAAATAAATGAGGATTTTAAAAATGATTTTATTTTGAAAAGAAAGCATTGGCGTAGTACTTTTTCCAAAAAATATTCAATGCGAAACCCGTAGGGATGCCACTGTTTGAAAAAATACAAATTTGTGTACATCAGAAAATGCGCCTTGAGGCATGGAATATATGTACCAAATAGGCCAAAGATGTCTACAAAATTATTTCAGTTATTATTAAAAAACTGATTATTTTTGAAAACTTTGCCACCCTGTATCTCAAAAGTTAAGGCGTTTAGGGCATACGTTCATAGGAAGTTTTTTTCTTAAAATGGGTCGAAGAATTACCTCCTTAAATATTAGCATGTGTAAGGAACACCCTGTATAAATAATTTCATCAACCACAAAACATGGATTTTTTACTAAAAAAAAAAGAATTAAGTAAACAAAAACAAAGTGATAAGTTTATTTTTGAAATAGAGGTGGTTTTCGTTTTCATAAATAAATTTATGAACATGTTTACTGTGATGCCTAAATACATTTTAAATATTCTCTATTTTTTGGGACATTCATCTTTTCACTAAATATTTATGTTGGTTTACTCGACAACAAGGATGCAATAATTGGTTCGGAAGAAGTTGGATATCTTCATTGAATGAAATGATAATATTTCTGTTGAAAAGTTACATAAACACGATTGAAAGTATATGAACTTCGAATTTGATATTTTGCTAATATTTCATACAGAAAGTTGAATTCTAAACTGGTTTCAAACAAAACAAGTGTTATGAAATTATTTACCGAAATTTCATATCATCTGATACAAATTCATAAACTCAAGCCACTTGCCGTAATACAAATTTCTTACCATGTTTCAGACTGAGGTTCATCAACTGCTCCTCCAACTGTTTCTGTTGCAATAATAATAGGCGGTCAGCATTATTTTGTACACCTGAATAATAACTAGGCTGGACACCGTTGAATCCATTGGGGAATTGTTGCTGCTGCCCGCCGAGAGTCCCAAGTTCTTTGTTGTTTTTGTGAAAGTCTGTGAAGAATTTTGACATGTTCTGATCAAGGTCTTTCATCGCATTGTGAGACGGTCCAGAGTTGGTTTGGGAATGATCCTGTTTAAAATCAGAGAAGCCATTGGGTATTTTGTTGGACAATATGTCCATCAAATTATTTTCCAATTTGGGGGACATGTCATAGAAACCATTATATGACTCCATTCCTAAAAAATTATAAAGTTCAGTTAATTCCTATAATTTTACAGGGAGTGGTGTTGCTGCTTGTTTGATGAAACAGTAGATGAACAAACTTCGTACGGTGACCACATGTGCAGTAGCGTCCTACCATCATGCTACATTGAAGGTTCGCACCTTGCGCAGAGACGATGATTTGCGTACCAGGGGGTGACATAGATGATGGCTAGAGATAGCGTTAAAGATAGCATTGCCTTAGGCTCGGTGTTATCAGTTGTAAAATAAATAATGAAAAATGAGACGTATGGAGTGGTGTTGCCTGTTTGAAAAAAATAGGCGCTGGAGCTATTCGTTTTACATTTCCTTTGAAAATAAATTCTAAATGGCATATTATTAGGCACATAAATGCGCTACTTATCTCTAATTCATTCGACCCCGTATCACTTACAGTTTCAGATATCCCCATGCTGTTCATTCTTATCTTTGACACTGTATAGTGTTTTAAAAAATAAACATGGTCTAGCGCAGGGGTCGGCAAGTAGTTTTAGGTGGGGTCTGGTGAGTGTGGGAAAATTTTAACGAGGTCCAGAAAAAACAACTGATAAAAATTAAGTGCTACCTATGTATTATTTTGATTTCAAATCAAATTCTGAATTATAAAACACAAGACCTAAAAATTAATGTGAAAAATTACACCGACGGTCTTGAAATGCAGCGACATCTTTTTTTCTTCTAAAAGTGGCGTGACTACTTCTAACATACATTTTTTTCACCACCTCAGAATCTGAAAATGGTTTCTGCTGTTTATTAAGCGTCCAGCACACACGTAGCGCTGCTTCTGTGGATTTTTTTTGCTAGCTTATGCATCGAACTTATAATTTTGTGCTTTTTTTTGTGAGAACTGACATTGAAGTTTTTCTTTACGAGTGACGATCATCATCCGAAGACGATTGTGGATACTAACAATCGAAACGTCGTGAACTAACTTGGCTTGAAATTTCTAAACTAGCTTACTTGTATTTTGTACCTTCATTACTTTAATGATTACTTATGACACTTTGTCAATAAGAAGTTATTCTTAGACAATAAAGTATCAGTATCTAGAGGTGTAGTATACCTTATCTACGTATTGATTTTTATACTTGGTATATAACACATTAGAATATTTGGCGGTCCGATGTTCGACTTTTCGCGGTCCGCATGTTGCCGATTTAACCGATTTACCTTTCAATTTGTTACACTCAATGACATTTTGTTATTGTACAAGACATTGGAATTTTTGGCAAAAAATGGCGAAAAGGAAAAAAGACATTTGATACAAATTTATTACAAATACGATAGAAACAGCGTTAGGACATCATAAATGTATTTAAACTTGTATCTTGAAAGACGACAACCACATCGAACTATGTTCAAGTTATTGGATCAACATCTTACCGAGTTTGGTTCGTTTGAAAAGTCAATGAAAAAATACGGACAGAATCAACAAATTTGATAAATGAGGTGTGTATGAGGTAAATAAGACATTGTGTCCTTTTCAATGAAAATAGAACTTTCAATAAATAACAATGTAGAATGTCCAAAATATGAAGAACCAGGAGACAACATAATATAACTGGGGCAATGAAAGAAATTCTATGTGATGATAGATGAACGTTGAGCAACATGATGGCATTTTTGAAAGCCGCAAATATAATTGATGAAATTTGAAAACAAAACAACAAGTCCGCGGCTAATAAGCTAGCAGTTGATGCCGCAAAAAAAAAACAAAAAAAAATTAACTGAAATGTAAAGACAAAAGTAAATCACAGCAAATAGTCAAAATGCTGGCCTTGTTCGTGATAACACAACTGTGGCCTATAACTTATGATACATGATTTGAAAACCCTGAAAAAATTTTAAAAATTAAAAAGATTACCCAAAATTGTT